ACCGTGCATGGAGATGAGATAATAGCCCAAATTAAGTATACACTGATAAGACCAACTTTGAGCTGTATCCTTAGATACCAAGTAAGATTCTAGTCCAATTAGTGTCAAGTTTTCCCTTCTCCAAGACAATATATGGTTTGACAAAGTGTATAAAATCATATAAATCTAAAATTGAAGCTTTAGCCTCAGTGGTCTCTCCAAACATAAGTTCTCAACAACAGCAAATGCTTTATCTAAATTTGTGTTTCAGAGGTTGCTTTGACAATTTTAAGAACTCTATTTCTGACTTAATCTAAAAATACCTAATGATGACGGTAAGGTGTTCCATTACTTTAAAGAGTCATCCTAAAAGCTGTGGTATCGATCTGGATTAGAGGGGAGTTCAACCCCAAGGTATCTACCAAAGGATCCAAGGCCAGGAAGGTTTACTAATCACTGGTTGAAGTGGCTGTTTAGAAGTTGGTGCCACGGATCTGATTTGTCTCTTCCAAAGTATTTTGACATGTTAAGGGGATGAAAGAGGAGGAGGAAAATTATGCTTTGTTAGTTTTACCATCTCTTTTGCCTGAACTAGACAGCATGGGTAGAGATTTGGAAGGGGGAAAATATGTGCTAAAATTTCTGGTTTAGGATTATGCAGCAAATATGTGTTTTTTCAGAGTTCCAAATGTCTGCTGTTCGCAGTTTCTACAAACTTCATGCTCAGTTGTCAAAACTTATGCAAAACTGTGATGGCACATTCTTTGTTGTCGCCCCTTTTTTCACATATGCCAGACGTGGATCCTTTGCGAGCTGATAGAAGGGGAACAGAGTGCAAGTACAGCTTCTTTCCTCTCTGTAAGAGAAAAGGTTCCTCACTGACTAACAGGATTTCTCAGTCTGCAGAAAATCCATGGTCTCTTTTGAATGAGAAGGAAGTGTCATGCAGATCAATCATGTAGGCAAAAAACAAATTAGCATTTGGTGGTATGAAGCAATGAGAGGTTGTGACAAGAGTACAATCTGGTACAACACACATTTCACACCTTTCTGTGCTTATCAGCCTGTCAGTTTGTGACCAAAGAATATACAATCCTTCAGAAACCAAAGGAGAATTATCCAAGATTTGATCTGTATTCAAGTTGCCAGCTTTTTTCCACTGGGATTCTAGATACAGAAGTAAAATATTTCTAGCCACTTAACTAGTAGGAAGCCTTATTTTTCTTTTTCAGTTAAAAATAATGAGAAATGGGTTTTTTCTATTTAATCAATTATTTACTAGAAGATTTTGGGTTTTTTTATACCCTCTTTTATATTTGTAAATGCATCAGTTTAATAAATAATTGTCAAAGGAACAGAACAGTGCCTTGTGATTTATTATTATTCTGTACAGGCTACTAAAAACTTAGAGCAGAGATTAATATGTTATTGCAGAGATTATGTAAGGGCAGGACCCATGTCCTGATGATGCAAATATCGGAACTCCATAGACTACAGGATATCAGAAGTGGATTTGAAAGTTGCTGATAAAAATTTGGAAAAATCATCATTAAAATCTGAAAGCAGTTATGCAGGACAAAGGTATGTGTGTATGTACATATTTCTCATATTTTGGTGAGCAAGGCAACAGCAAAGTTGCTCAAATCTTTGAAGTGGGAATGTCAATTAAGTAAAAATAACTCCTTTTGTTTGACAAAGCAATTTTATACCTTTTTGGTTAAGAAGACTTGCACAGCCTCTCTTTCCAGTTCTAGATAAACATTTTTACATGGCTGGTGATTTCAGTGCGTGGGGAGAGTCAGGGCAATCCCACACAGTTCTGCTCTGTGGCTGCAGGAAGCAGCAAAAGCTGGAGCAGTGGGTACAGGATAAGGCAGAACATGAGGCACTGCCCTGAAGAGTAAACACTTTTCACTACCTGACAATTATTTGTAGCCCAGGGAAACAGAGAAGTCATTTCAGTAATTTCAACAGGTTCGAGATGAGGTTTGTAACTCAACCCGTTTAACTCCAAATACAATTTAATTCAAGTCAAGGAGCGGGGAAATACAGTTACTAGTGATTTGCCCTACAACCTGCATGATGTCTCTGCTCTTATTTTTTCAGCTAAGAGGATGGATAATGCTCAAAGAAAATGAAAGTTCCTGTAAATCTGACATTTATCTTCTCCATGTAGGTAAATATTAACAAGAAAAGCTATCTGTAAAATGATCTGCATTGGGCCTTTCTTTGCATGCAGAAAATTCAGCTAAATCTGCACGAGATGGAATGGCACCCGTCCATTGCCTACAGCTTCAAAATTTGTTTATATTCTGTGGAATAACCATCCAGATGTTGTTCATTTTTAATGCTGTTTGATTACTTGTAATGAGCAATCATAGTAATAAAACAAGGATATATGAAAAAACAAATGTCCATGCTAACCATAAACCCAGGCTATATCTGCAGTATTTAGGTGAGAGCTTATTCCCATTTATTTGTTCCTGATACACTTGGATGCTTTTTACAATGAACAACACAATACTGCAGTCCAGGATGACAGACTGGCCTCAAGGTTTAGCCCTTTATCTATAACAGGAATGAAATCTGCTGAAACACATCTGGCTTGTATGTTAATAGAAGAGCTCCTAAATGAGGTTTCTGTTACCAGCACAAAGTGGAGGAGGAAGAGGGAAAAGAAAAAAAAGGAAAAGGAAAGGATGTGTGCACAGAGAACATGAAGGTGGCTTCAGGCTGTACCAGGTGTAGTTGGTGGATAGTTCAAGGGAAGGTGCTGGGAAAACAGATCTCAAAAGAACTCTGTCTGTGTGATACAGAGCATGAGCTCAGCAGGATCATGATGGGAAAAAAAGACCAAGTTTTCCAGCCAACAAGGCAGGCCTAAAGGCATGTGAAAGAAGCTGTCAGTATCTAAGTCAGTCTAAAGAGCATTTGCCTTCCACAGCAAGGCTTAGAAAGCCTGTCAGAAAAGGTGCTTGGTGACATTGGTTTCAAGTGAAAAATACATGGTAACGCTGCACCCAAGCAAAGAGACATCTCTCACCATGGGACAATAAAGTTTTTACCATGGACCTATACCTTAAGAGAGGGTTGTCAGCACTTGGAGGATTGAAGCAGTACAGGTTAATACAGGCATTGGAACTTCTCTCCATTGATTTCCACTTAACAGAATCTCTTATTTTTCAAAGATGACACAAAATACCTTTGGTCTTATTGAGCATATTTATTTTGCTGCAAATGAATTGGTAGTGAAATCTTCCTTCTCCAAATTTCCTTCACAAGCCAGAAACTCTATAAAAAAAACAGCTTTTGCTATACTTTTCTTCATTATTTTCTAGAGGTTCCCTTGTACAGGTAAAATTATGTACCCAGGCCATGGAGCATCCGTTCTATACAAAATGTAATTTTGCAGCATTCTTGCTGGTGATGTGGTTTCCCTACGAAACATCTATTTCTGTGAGGGTGGGAAGTGTTGCCAGAACAGGCTGTCATATTGTTATTGCCTTCTCTGCATACTTTTTGGTAATTTCTTATGTGACTGATGAAAGCAAATTGTTGCCATTCAATGCAGTATCATACAAAGGGGATATTACCTGTGATAGTGAGAAAGCTGTACTGGGCAATTTAAATTAGGCAGGAAGAGAAGTCAATGCATATTTTCAACTTGGTCCCTCTGTTAGACCTTAATTATCATTATTATCCATATTTAAACTGCAAAGGCTTTTTTTTTTTTTTCTTTGCAGCCACTTAGCTGAGTGCACCTCAGCAGCCTCCATGCCCTTACCTGTGTAGCCTTGCCAGCCAGGTTGTGTGGGATGGATTTGGTCACGTCCTCTGGCGAGAGTGGTTGTAGGAAAGGGGTCTTCAGGAGCCTCCTGTCCTCTCAGTGAAGGTTAGAAAACTGCTTTTCTGCTCGAGCTTTGGGCAGGGCTTGTAGTGGCATTGGCACAAAGGGGGCTGGAAGGGCAGATAAAATCCCTGCACTGTCTTGTTTGGGCTGGGCATGAACCAGCAGCAGCCTGACCTGCTGTGGGTGGCATGAGCCCCTCCCGTCACGTAGGAGGCCATGTTCCCCACAGCATCATCGCTTTCCTTTCCCTCTCAGCCTGGTCCCAAAGTGAGGAGAGGTTGGTTTGGGAGTTGCAGCACCCGCCTTGGGCATTGTGCCGCCACACTGGGCTGGGGAGACACCGGTGAGTGGGCTGTAATGTGAGGGAGCAGCTACGAGCGGGTCCCAGTGCAATGGGAGGTTGAGGGGCAGGTGTATGAGGGTCTGAGGGGAAGCTCTGAGGGGTGTCCCAGCGCTGTGAGGGGGAGTTGTGAAGGTGTCCCGGCGCTGTGAGGGGGGGTCCCAGAGCTGTGAGGGCTT